ACACGAAATAGAGTGAATACATCTCATTACATTGAAATTTGTCTGTCTGTGCCCCTTGAATTCCTGTCCCCGTTTACGTCATCATATTCGAGGATTTGAAGGCGGTCATTCTCATGCCTCGGCATTTTCCTCCTAGGATTCAGGCCCATCACCCAATTATCCTCCTCATTCCCATTGTATCTCATTTTTTGGGGCCTCATGTCTAGCTTACTTCGGAACTGCCTGTGTGAACAGCTAACGCTTCTCTTTTCAATTCCTGAATCGCCTAAAGTACACTTTTGTCTCTCAAGTTGATATTACATTCTAATCCTAGGATTCTAGTCAATTGTCCATTTGTACGTTGATTTATATCCTCCCTAGTCAGACATGTCACCAGTCACCTCTCATTTAGGCATACAGACGAAAAAATGTACACAAGCACAACACATTCACATTGGGTACCAACTGATATGACGCATTCCAGGTTGGTTTCCACAGCCTGACCAATTTGATAGGGACCTATATCTTTAGTCTAACACCTCTAATGTACAATCTGCATATTTATAGCCTTTACTTTCTTATCCCACATCCTACAAGTGGCTCTAGGTTTGACTCCTCTTACTGCAAACGAATTTTCATGATTTCCCTTCTTCCCCCATGAACCTTTTTTCAGCACTGTCTCTTCTTGTTGATAAGTAGATGTCCTTGGTTCAAGCGTCTTCTTTAGCTGTTTCTGCTAAGTTTCCAAGTCTGCCCAGACAGTATGCCAAAGTTTTTCTTCATTTTCCCTCTTCAAATCTCCTTTTCATCCGTTTTTATCTTCTCTTCTTCCCTGTGACCTAAGAGCACTCATGGCATTATGGCATATTGGGTAACTATCATGCACTATCATTTTTCTAATTCCGCTGTGGATACAGATTAGACCTAGGCGAGGTCGAAACTGCGGTCCACCTTGAATGAAAATGTCTTTTGGCAAAGTAAAGCTGTGCGAAATCCAATGGGAACACAAGGCTCACTCATGTCATTGATAAAGAATTCAACTACCAGTCCCCTTATCACTTTAAACGAAATAGGGTGAATATATTTCATATACAATTGATCCATTGGTAGTCTCGAAAACCTGCTTATAAAAAAATAACCCATTTTTGCCTTGTCGATATATTCATACAAGAGATTTACTTTGTGCAATCCCTGCTTTTGCCATAATTTCGTGCCCACTGTGTGTTTTAACGCGTAACTTTTCTACCTCTAAATTTCTTCTTCACTCAAGTCTCCTTGGTAGCAATAGTTAGACTTAGGCAAGAACAAATATTGCGAATATTTACACTGAGGGCACGCTATTGTATTCTTGACACTGAATTTAAATGGAAGACCAAAACTTCATCTTATTATCATTATATTAGACTTGTGACCAATCGATCATATGCTTATATTCTATAAAATTACCTATATCCATAAACTGTTTCTATTATATTATTGTTTTAGGGTCCTTCCTCTAGTGCTCCCCTTCTTGCTTGGATTTGGCTGCCTCCAATGCCAAGATTCCCCTCTGGCCCTGATTTTTCCCCTGCACTCAGCTCTGCTCACTTTCACAATCATTCCCATCAAAATCAGCCTCATCATTCATCTTCGTCAACAAGAGTTCATCAATCCGCTTTGCTGGCATTTTCTCGTGGTTCTTGCCTTCACCTGCTGCGTGTTTCAATACCAACTACTTCAGCGGCTACGGCCACATTCTCTAGTGGAGGGACGATGCCTGGTCCCATTTCAGACTGCCAAGCACCTGTCACCTCTGACGGCAGCTATAGTGGCATCGGAGGTCTCAACAGTGATGAGGACGGCTCAACGCAACATCCTGGCGTCAATAGTTCCATTTCTCCATCCTCCTCAATCGCTTCTCTTACTTGCCAAGCTCCATCTGTCTCGCCAGGCGCTGGTTCGTGCTCGGTGTTCTCGCTGCCTGATCTATTGTCAGGTGGAGTTTTGCCAAAGAGACCTTGTGTAGAGACTCGACTGATTTCAGTGTCCAGTGGTGGTTGGCCTGGAGCCTTTTTGAGCTCTATCAGAGGCGAGGAAACTGTACTAAAGTTTGATCTGTTGCGATCAATTGAGTTGGGATATCGTCTTGTTGCCCTTAAAGTAGGCAACCTTTTTTCTACCTCATATTAATTCCCCTATTTTTTATGTCTTATCTTAGTTTTTAACCTCTTCCAACATTTGTATTGTTGAGTCATGCAAGGAATCACAATAGAGAACTGGCAATATACTTGCCTCAATAAAGGCGAAGGAATGGGACATTGTAATAGCTCTTACTTAAGCGACGGCAGCAGCCACTAGAAATATCATTAATCGATGTTCATAATGCTTACCTCACCACGTTTACTTTATTTTTGTTGCCAACCTTGATAGTACCTTTATGAGAATAACCCATTTGAAAAATCCTTAGCAGATTTTGCAACTTAGGGGAGAATGTTATTGGCTGGTGTTTAAAGAGAAAAGACGTAATTTAGAGGAGTGCCTTTGAATCTTCTAAAGGGAAAATACTTCCTTATATTCAAATTCAGACATGCTATTCACCAGACCATATTTGCACAGAATATCTGTTGAGATTAATTACGCTCGGAAGATTTATGCGATGTACGGACAAATTCGCGCATCAAGCTCATCATATATGAACATTAAACACGAATGCAGGAATGCAATGCTAAAGTTTGGCCAGTGATACTCATCATCCATCTCTCTACTGGTACAGCATATACAGATTTTATTAAGGCACGAGATCTTCACCAAAAGCAAGATATTACTTTCTATATTTATTGAGTTAAATTCTCCTTCAAATTCTTGCTTTATCTTTTATTATATTTGTTTTTTCATGTACTGTCTTTACCACTTACTAACTAGAAGTAATAATTTTTCATTCTATATTAGATTACATTGGCTGAA